AAAAAAAGGGGGGGGGGGGGGGGGGGGGGGAAGTGCTAATAAAAAAAAAATATATAAATGTAATGCCCAAATAGTCTGTTACATATTTTCATATATATTTTTACACTATTCTACAGTTCTCAAAGGTTCAGGCAGCTGATGCACAGAGGATAAAACCTCCTTCATCCTTTCCGGACTCAAATGAACTCCTCCAGGAGATCAGGAGATCTTTCTTTTTCTTTGCTGTTAGGGTTACACACAAAAAACAGACGCGAATGCAGGAGTACAACAGGCAAACGAAAATTGAAAGACATAAGAACAAGCACAAAAACAGTTGAGAATCACATCTATGCTCCCGAGTCCTTTGAGAAATAGAGGAAAATCTTGGATAGAAGCTAAACCGGAAGTGAAAATGAATGGGAAGAAAAACGGAAGATGGCCTTTAAGCACATGGTACGTGAGAGCGAAATGGAGGGATGACGGAGGCTAGCTCCAGAGGCCGGCATAGTTTCCATGTAGGCCAGAACACAAGGGCCCGCCGGCCACAAAGAGTTTGGTGCCGGAGTCGTCGTAGCAGTGTGTGTACACGGCATTCGGGAAGGAGCGAACGTCGGAAAAGTAGCTTCTCCACGTGTCATCGTGATTCTGTGGGAGAAATGCAAATAGAGAACCTGACTGATAGGGATTTTGTGCATTCATTTCAGCCTCAATCAAAATATACATACACTACAGTTCAAACGTAGTATAAACTAGTATAAAATACTTTAAATTGAGTTTATTCCTGTGATGGGAAAAGCTGAATTTTCAGCATCATTATTTCAGTCTTCAGTGTCACATGATCCTTTAGAAATCATTCTAATATGCTGAACTGGTGGAAGCATTTCTTGTTGAAATGTTGAAAACAGTTGTCCTGCATAATGTTTTTGCAGAAAATGTGATAAATGTATTTTTACAGGATTCATTGAATAGAAAGTTCAAAAGAGCAGCATTTATTTAAAATGGAAATCTTTACTGTCACTTTTGATCAAATTAATACATCCTTTCTGAAAAAAAGTATGCATTTTTTAATAATCTTACTGACCCCAAAAGTTCTAACAGTAGTCTATAATATGTAATAAGCAGGATAATGTACAGTCGGCTGATCGTTATCACAAAATAGCATTAGACAGGAAAATTAAAAACCTGATGTGCAGAGTTGTTGTTCAGTTTGCGATAATGACCAGGCTGACTGTACATTATCCCTTACATAGTTAAATTCTTCAAAGCTGTAACAAAAAGGCAGCAACCTAAGTGGGTCAATTAAGCCAATCAAATAGTAGTTATACTTCCGTGTGGACTCCTGATTAATGCAGCAGACAGCATTTCTGCTTAATGAACTTCCATATGGTAAGCAGAGACTGATGCTGCAGGCAACCAACTTCAACAGTAAACACTTTGTAAAAGAGCTTATATATATAGACTAATTAATTCAAAAGCCTGTCCAAAGATTTCATGGCAAAAACCAGGTAGGGAAAAGGAAAAATAGCATGTAAATCAATTTATTACATGTAAATCAAATGAGCAAGTTTCTAAAAAAAAATTATAATAATTGCAAAACAGCAATTGTTTGAGTATCAGATTTAGTTTAAAACAGAATTATACCACTGTTCAACAGTTTGTCGTTAGAAAGACTTTTTTCAAGAAATTAATACTTTTATTCAGCAATGATGCATTCAGTCGATTAAAAGTGACAGAAAATACATTTATAATGTTAAAAAATATTTCACAATTGTTTTCAATATTGATTATATTAAAGAGTCAGCACCAAGTCAAATATAACATTCATATTAGGGGGGTGGGAGAAAAAAAATGTATTGATGTATCGCGATTCTCTCTCCGACGATTCTGGATCGATTCTGAGAATTTCATAATTGATTCTGAGCTTAGTTTTTAACCAGATGCGCGATGACGCTGAGTTTGCTTTAGAAACATGTAGTAAAAAAAGTAGATCAAGAATCGTTCTGGAATCGGATCGTGACTCCCAGAATCGGATCGGATCGTGAGGTGACTAAAGATTCCCACCCCTAATACATATATAGCTCAAGGTCTTATCAATATGTATGCTGAAGTTTTACAAGGCAGAGAACCTGGGTCAAAAAAGGGTCAAAATGAACAATCTTACCAGCCATCCTCTTCCTGTGGAGAGTTTCAGGATGCCCTCTGCAGTGCGATTCCGGTACCCGCCGGGTGAGCTGGATGGACCATCCAGAAAACGCTGGGCCCTGATATCATAGAAGAGCAGGGAGCCTTGGCCAGTGCCTACGGTCACTATGTGTTCATAAAAGCTCACAGAGCGAATACCTAAGAGAGAAGTAAACACACAACTGAGCACCAGTTTGCTTTGCAAATTTTAACTTTTTAACTGTATTTGGAGGGGGGGAAACATACCACTGCCACGCTCCCTGGAGCTCACAGATTTGATGTTCTGAGATGACTGCCGGGGGTCAAGGAAGGAAACGTGTGCCTGAGAGCCGACTGCATAAACAGACCAGTCCAGCCCATATGCCAGACACACATTCTCCTTACAGTAAGGGAGTTTGGTAGAAAGCTCCTGAAAATCAAATTAAATGGGGAAAAACACCCATTAGACAACTGTAAAAATCTTCAAATAATGAGCTTGACAAAAAAAAAAAAATCCAAAATATGAGGAAAAAATGCTGATAGTTGTAAATGTACCTTGCACAGGTTGTCTTCTGCCTTCCACAGATGGAAATATCCATCTAAAGAAACAGCACCCAACTCCTAATGGATGAATGAAAGAGACAAAAGCGGAATCGGAGAAACAGTGAGCTTGAATAACGCACAAAGCAATCAATTTTCAGTCACGAGTCAAGGACAGCCCCTGACCTTATGGCTGTTGTTGAAGGCCAGTGCGCGCACTTTGCAGTTGTAGGGGTGGGTGTACTCTTTCGGGATGTCCTTGAGAGCGCGGTGAGAGATGTGGGAGTAACAAGGAACACCTTCCACATTCTGACGCTTCTCAGCCTGAGTCAGCACCTCCTCTGATATCTCCCACAGACCCATGGAACCGTCACGAGATCCTGCTCCAGTAAAGAAAAGATTCATTCTCTTTTAGTGGAAAAGCAGAATCTGTACACCATGAATAACATATGGTTGTGTACAACACATTAGAGATAATGAAAAATTAATCTATAATTAATGAGTCATAGTAGTCATATAGCATAAAACAGGTTTATTTTGCAATAATGACAAACTAACTGTACATTATGCTGCTTATTACACAGATGCTTAAAAATAGGGATGCACAATATATCGGCCACCATATCGGTATCGGCCGATAAATGCTAATTTTTTCTGTTATCGGTATCGGCCTGATAAGAAAATTGGCCCGATATCTTAAAGCCGATAAATAATGCATTATTTCCTTCAGAGACACTTCAGATGCGCACTGTTCGTTTGCAGCCTTTTGTGAAATTGTACATTGTAATATTGTGTTTATTTGATGTATATCTGATTTATCTCATATAGAATGCGTTTGGTTAAGTTAAAAGAGCGCTTCAGTTTACCGGTGATCGTCTTTAGCTCAGCGCACGCAGCTCAAACAGCAGTGCACAACATTAATAACTATGATTGGGAATGTTGTGTATATAACATTATATACAATTCTGTTTTATTGATCTGTCAAAATAAATGAATGGACATGAAATGATGTGAACAGAGTTGATATAAGAAACAAGAACATTGGTTGCCTGGGACAACTGTCAATTATTATAGCAGCCATTGTACAATATTTGTCTGCAGAATGCTGTGAAATGCAGAAACAAGTATTTTACAGGACGATGTGATAACATATTAGGCATGACAGCAAATTGAAAGCATCATTTGTCCTCAATGAAAGTAAAAAGTTGTGGGAAATTTCAAAAATCCTAGGCAAAAAGCAATAGCTTATGCAATAAGCAAATCACAGGCAATACTATTAGTACTCAAAATTCAAAATTTTTACCGATATAGCTGATGGAAATGCCATTTATTGATAAAATTTCTCATGTGTCGACATAATCTTTTCCCGTTTAACTTTAGCGCATAAATTCTATATCGATACTTCAAATGTCGCAAAAAATTGTTTGGAAACACTTTTTGTAGAGTAAAGCCCTGTTCACACCAAGAACGATAACTATAAAGTTAACGATATTAGCGTCCACACCAGCGAACGATATATATCTTAATTTGATGTTCCTTTAGTAGCCTACATTTATTTTTTACAGTGCACGGCTCAGTTTAAATAGCCTGTAGTCCGAGCCGTTTAGCGTGACCACCATACCCACGTGATATTACTATGCCAAGCACATTGTGTTTTACATGGATATTGGAACGCGAAGTACAACATTTTTAATTCGTTTTGGCTTGTTAGTAGCTTCTTATATTTTTATATTCTTGTTTTGTTATGAGTTCTGTTCTACCGTTAAATTTAAAGTATTTGTTGTGGAGTGAGGGGAACTAAAATAGCATGGTTTTCAATGTGTGGCTGACTGCATTTTATCATGACAATGAACAGGCTGCGTTGTCCAGTTAGTAATGCTTAACTGCATGAGTGAGGTGCCGGCACGATCACTAGTTATTCCCCCCCCCCCTTTTAAAAGTGCAAACAACTTGCACTGTGTCTACACCAAGCTGCAACCTTCCGATCTCTCTCGTGAAACCAACACGGAAACTGCAATTCATCGACTATGTCCGCTAGAGGCTGGCTCCAAAAGGGAGCCAGTCCCATTGACTCCCCATCATAAAATGCCCAATTTACAGCAGAAAAAAATTTGTTTACAGCCTGGTACAAAAAGTGGTTTTGGTCTAATGTCCGCTAGAGGCTGGCTCCAAAAGGGAGCCAGTCCCATTGACTCCCCATCATAAAATGCCCAATTTACAGCAGAAAAAAATGTGTTTACAGCCTGGTACAAAAAGTGGTTTTGGTCTATATAGCTAATTTTGCCCTTCATGACAACTGTGAGGGGATGAATTGTTTTATAATTCATCCGTTTAAATTATATTAAGCCTTAAAGTTCTGCATAATTAAGGCCGTGGCCACTTGAGTGACAGGTGGATTGCCGCTGCTTTCACCGCCGTCGAGCTAGGTGGGCATGGTCTCAGCAACCAGCTCCCGCCTCTTTGCCCATTTTCGATTATCCGGGAGTGACACGCAGTGACGCACTGCCAAGATGGCGATGACCAGCTCCGCCCACTTTGAGCTTCAAAAACGCTCTTCAGAAACCTACGGGTGACGTCACGGACACTACGTCCATGTTTTTATACAGTCGATAGTCTAGACACGTTGTTACTATACTCCTTCATTTGTGGTCATATGAGAGTAAGACATTATTCAAAACTACTCTAAATATTCCTTTATTTGTGCACATTCACAATAAAAACAAAACATTGTGCTTTTGTAAAATAAAGGAAACAAACAGGATTCCACTTTCTCAAGAGTGCATTACAAAAATGAGCCGAAATTCTGCATTTAGGCTGCTAAGTGTTGCACAGTTTTTTCTTTCGTTTTGTTAATTTATTATTTAGAAAAATATATTTTGCATATAGGTCTATTTATTTCTTTTATATAGCATATAGCTTTATTATGTTTTTCTGCATTCGCAGAAGCGATGCAGGTGTGTGACATGACCATATGAATCCTCACGTTCTGTTGTTTATGCTGCTTTTTGCATGTATAAAAATTATTAATAAAATTAATAAAGGAAAACAAATTTAGGTATTTTTATTGGGTCACAGCCACGTATCAATTCAAATTTCATTTAATTGTAATTTAACAATTTTGTCGGTTAATAATGCCTTAACGACCGTCGGTTGTTGGTTAGGAGAAATAAAATAACCAAAATGAATATTTCCCCTAAAAGTTAATCAGAAAAATAATGATAGGCTAATACAACTGCACCTATTTATGAATAATGCTTGATGATCAAGTATCTAAATAGTCTATAACAAAGTACAAAAACAAACAAACAAAAAAACAACAACAACTCATGACACTTGTTAAAAACAATTGTATGCAGGCCTATACAATTTAATAATAGGATATATAATAATGTTTTGTTTCAAATGGATGAAGAACAGGCTGCTAGCCTGTATAATTTACGCAATATGTGAAATTATGTATGGAAACAGCTCAAAGGCAATTTTTTTTTGCGTTACACCAAAACTTATGCGACAATTTGTTTTTATAGGGATGACGTCATCATGCACAGCATTTTATCGGTAAAAGGCCAGTTGGATGAAACAAGCTGTAGACAGCAATTTTCGCTCATTTTTTTTAACGCATATTCTCTTTATCGATAACAAAACAGTGCAAAAACTGGATGGAAACTTGGCTGCTGACAATGAAAAGAAAAAAATATATAATTCAAAATGTAATTCTCTTTAATGTAATACAATAATGAAAACAATCATGTCCACATTTTTTTTTTTTTTTAAATCAGAAATATCTATCTATCCATCTATAAATCATTATATGTATAAAAAAAATTATGTAACAAAATTACTTTGAAAAATGGAGGCAGGGATGTGCTAAACTAATGAAAATAATGTCAAATATTCTTAATGTTCCTAAACTGGGCCCCATTTTCGTTATGCAAAACATACTTTCTATTTCTGTTCTCTATTTTCTCTTGGGGTGAAATATAACACTGGACATTGTTGACAGGTTTCTTGAAATGTACACTAGCACTTAATGTGTTAACTTAACATTAAAGTGTTTGCTCAAAACAGGATCTACAAGCTTCTTACCGGAGACTGCCATGGTATCACTGATCCACGCAATGGAGAATATCCAGTCATTGTGTCCATCCTGTTCGAAATACAGAACCAATTTGAGTCTAGAGAAATACTTTATCTGTTATAACATAGGTGTTTTCATTATATTAGCCAAAGCTAGCCACTAAGAGCACTTGAGCTCTTTGGAGCCAAAGGCTGAAGCCACTAAACTGTTTGACATTTACACTACTTGCGCAACTAGAGCAAAGGCCGGACTCACATCCCCTACGCAGACAGGGTCAAGTGTGGGAAGTCTGTACACTGCCAAGCTGTTGGGGTTGTCTCCTCCAGTGGCCAACAAAGTACGAGAGGGGTTCAGCTCAATGGCGTGGATGCCACACCCCTGCTGGACATCTAGGCCTCCGACTGATCCTGGATTGTGGAAGGGGAAATGGCCTCCACCTCCACTCAAACCCTGGGAAACCTCTCCCCTGCCCTCTCTGTCTTTCAGCATGGGTATCCTTGTTATCTGTCCCGAGAGGACGTCCACCACAAATAGCTAAGAAAACAAAGAAAAACAGGATTAGTAAAGTCATCTAAAAGAGGATTGCAACTAAGAGATAATAAATATAGATCCATTTCTCATAGCTTCAGAAATCTTGTGAACATATAGAATATGTTCAGACAACTTTTGTGGTACTTTTATGTCATTTTGGTGCTTGACAGTCGCCATTCTCCCTCTTTATATGGAAATGCATAATTTAGATGACAGAATTTTTATTTTTGTGTGAACTATACCTTTAACTTTATTAACAGCATAAATGCATGAGTTGACATTATATACAGTACCTCTCAATAGCTTATTTAACATGAAATATTCCTGAAGGGTGACGTGTGTATTGAAAACTTTTTGTGTACTAGTATGTTAGTATCAGTGCGATACTATTATAGTTTCTATTAATATTTTTATGAATACATAACATTTTTCTTATTTCTTATTTTAGTACATCAAGTAAATCTAAATGAAAATGAGACTCATTTGTTTTAAAGCTTGTTCCTGCTAAACAGACTTGACATAATAATTTAGTTTTAAAGTCGAAATACAATGTTTAGGTTTTTTTTAAATATTTTATTTCATTTCTGTTAATGCTTTATTACATTTCAAGTAACAAAAATGTTTTGTTGTATGTATAATGTATAAAATGATTTATTTATTAGGGTTGTAACGGTACATGTATTTGTACCGAAAATACGGTATGGGCCTTTCGGTTTGGTATGCACGTGCAAAAATATAATCTAAACTTAAAATAAACTTCTCTAGAACCAATATTCTCATATTCTATTTCCCAATTCAACATCAATGGTAAACTTTAAATGGGGTTAGAATTAAATGGGAGGTAAGACCAGATCATAAATACAGCATTAATAACATTACATAATAAAAAGTATCAATCAGAAATCTCACCGTATTGCATTTGGTCCCGCACACCACCTGCCTGTGGTTGAGCCATTGGGAAGCGAACACCTTGTTGAGGCGGCCAAGGGCGAACTCTCTCTCTCTGAGGATTCCTGGGATGCGTCCAGCAGCGAATCCGCGCAGACTCCGCTGAAAGCTCCACTCATGCTGCTGTTGTGGGCGGAACTCCCTTCCTCTCACAGAACACACCACTGACCACCGGCTCTGCCACCAGTGCTGGGCATGACATGCTGAGCTGGACACGCGGGCACGCTTAATCGCAGACTGACACCAGTCAAACTGTTAGAAGGACAAAAAGGAGTTTTGTAAAAAATCTAAATGAAACAAATGTACTTTCATAAATCATACATGATTGATCAATTGCATGTCATTTTAAAGAAATGCAAATAATTGTAACAAACTGTAACAGCATTTACTGTCGGTTCCTAATAATTATCTATCTATCTATCATTTTCGGCCATATCAGCATCAAAGGCTATATTCATGGAAAACTCAACAATAATAAAACTGTCTTAATACCTATACTTCAATGAATTGCATACAACAATTTAACAATATTAGCTTTACAAACAATTAAAAACTATGTACAATCTTTCAAATTGATATTTGATATAAAAAAAAAAAAGTGTAATAATTTTTCAGATTTTTTTTTTCAAATGTCCATTAATGTACTTTGAGTAAAAATATTTATACTTTGTCTAAACAAAAAATAAAACAAACTAAAAATCAATCATTTAAAATGCTACAAATAAATTACAGCATCACAACATTATAATGTACGGCATGAAAATGGATATTACTTTGGAAAATTATTATTAAATCATTAAGTGTTTAAAAGAATATATTTAAGCAAACTGTCCTGAGCGCGTTCTCAACAGCCAGCGCGTGACGCCTCCTCTTCTTCTTCTTGCTTTACGGCAGATCGCAGAGCGATCGTTTCATGTCTTTACACATCAATGTATCGCCACGAGCCGCAGGGTTTAATTTGGTTTTGTTTGTGTATGTATTTTTGACTCTCAAAGCCGTGATTCCCATTCACCTCTATTATATGACTGACAGACTGCAACGGTTTGAGTTAAAAATCTCCGTTTGTGTTCTACTGAAGAAACAAAGCCAGCTACATCTTGGATGCCCTGGAGGTAAGCAGATAAACATCCAATTAAAATTTTGGGTGAACTATCCCTTTAATACATTAGCTTTGTTTCATCCTAGAGAGCATTGCACGGAGACATGAAAGCTGTTCTAATAGGAAGGCAAGGCATGCAGTTTCTAAGAGACGCTTTCTGGAGTGCACCGGCTTTTGAGTCCACCGGAAAACAGTGTCTTGTTTAGAAGTATCCAAGAACAACGCTCATATCTGAGGAATTTTTTGTGAGGTAAACACGGTTTAATTTTTTTGTTTAAATTCGTTTATATCACATCTGTGTCTCCCACCGGAGCTGCCACTGGACTGCGGATCTGATGTCTCACGGTATGTTTGAATAAGACTTTGCTGCATGCCGGAGTGTTATTGTATGTAACAACGCAGCATCCATGTTAGAAAGTGAATGACAATTGGTCTGTCAGGTGCTGGCTTCACATCTGAGTGGCTTGTCTTAAAGAGGAAGCATAAATGCAATGATATGGTGTCATAATCCGTTTTGGAAAAACATCGACCATACGGAAAGATTTATAGGCCGATGCCGATATTTAAAAAATTCCAACCATCAGCCGATATATCAGTCGACCACTACTTTTTATGCGCTTTTACAGTGTTGCGCATTATAACCGATCACACATGATTCCGTTGAGTTTATGAATGCAATCCCTGAAGTTGGTTCACTCTGAAACTAAGTAAATAATTAAGTAAATTAACATGATAATATAGTATATCGTCAATCTCATAGGCTGACGATAGGAAGATATGACTATGAAGCATATCACCCAACACTAACAGAACCCCTAAATTATGAGAACAATCTCAGAGGACATCTGGTTTTATGTGGCTTCCTTGCAATCCAGCACTGTGTAGGCAGTTTTGCAGCTTTTAAATACAGCTTGCATTTAAAGAAAAACACCTGGTGGCATTGGAAATTAATCACCTCACTCTGCTAACAGCCCTCTATACAACCAAACAATAAATTACCCCAAAACTGCCAAACAACAAAAGTGAGGGCATTCATCTGATGCTAACACCAGCTGGCAGACAAAGCGATCCTGTGCTCCCCAGCGAGCATCGACAAATCAAATATATCCATGACAGGGTCGAGTAAAACCAATGTACAGTGGGTACGGAAAGTATTCAGACCCCCTTAAATTTTCCGTGGGTCCAACAATCTGTGTGGGCGCGAGACTGAGACTCATTCATTTTAATGCTTATTCTTGCTAAACACTGACATCATCATGCTTATAATCAAGACATCATCACCCACATAAACAACTCTTGCTGGAATTACATCATCTGTCCAGAGCGAGATGAGTAATACACTCCTTCATGTGCTAATCTAGTCATAAACACTGATGTATCTCTACTCCAGTGAAGCTCTTCCTATCCCCCTTCAGGCCAGTAGACATCTGACTGACCCAGATCCTAACGCCCAAGTAGGTCACAACAGGATCTTCGTCAATACACGACCACCTTCCCACACAAAGAACTTTTTTTTTTCAAGAGCATCTAAGTTGTGAAAAGGATCAGCAATAACAATCAAACTATACAAAAATAGATTTTTGACAACCTACAGACCCACCTCAAGCTCATGCCATTGGCCGATGCCGTGTTGTGCTGGTTGGGATGCTCAAACATACATTTTGCGGGAATAAATCTGCAAATGGTGGTCTCTGCATATTAAACTGTGATATCAGAAAGCATTAAATAATGAAACATTTTCTTTTAATAGGCTTCATAAATGCACTACATGATGTTTATGAAGATTGAAGATTGCAATACAGCATTTGAGAATAACAAACACTCTTATCAATTTTTTTAAACTATAATAAAATGTTTATGATAATGTAATTGTAATTGATTTACTAATTGATACTAATTTATAATTCCATTACTAAATAATTTAATAATTGTTTATATTTTATAATAATAAATTTTTTTATATTTTATAATAATAATATAAGGTTTAATATGTCAATATAGTGTTACCCGAGAAATTTAAATGAACACAGTAAGATAAACCAAGACATACACAACCATTCACATAGTAAGGCCTAGTTATTACAAACATCGATAGTTGAGGCCTATGATATCAGCGCATTGTTTTTATTGATTTGCTCTTTTTGTCACATAGGGCTACGTCCAGGACTGGCCCGTTATATCCAAAATAAACCTTCAAAAACACCTAATAAGGACAGCAAGTGGTCTCACAAGCAGTGTGCTGCACTTACACAAGTTTGAGGAAAGGTGGTTTTTACGATGACAATGTAATATCGTTACAGTAATCATATATAGATGTTGTTCAGAACGAATGCATGACATGTTTTGTCTCTTATCAAGAATCATTGAGCTGCAAACGCCGCATTGTGCTATTCATATTTCTTATCTTAACAATGAAAAATAATGGAGAACTGTAGCAGATCTCAGTCGTGCAGGACGACTAGCCAGCTTATACTGTCTGGCTCTTGCTGGAGAAACATTATCCTGTAATCTAGTGCAGGATTAAGACACAGACAAGACGCATAACCTTAATGTTCAAGACAACTGATAAATGATTGCTCATTAATAAATCAGCTTACCAACGCCAGATCAATGTCAGCAACTAAGTTAACAACCTCACAGTTAGCCTTTAGCCAGCAGACTGCTGCTAACATTAGACTGCAATCTTTTCTTGTTTGTAAACTGTCACATTTCGAGCTTGTATTTCTATTTCCTATGATTTATGGGTGTTATTTCATATAAAACGAGGGGTTAGCATATGGCTCCATGGTGTTTTTGTTAGGTATAAGAGAGGAATGTTTTTACCTGTTGTTCCTTGGGCTCCTCTGCTTTCCTTTTCCTGCTAACTGTTTTTCTCGCCATAGTCCGACACGCACAGGTCCCTCACCCACATGGAGGGCAGCAGCGACGCTGGGAAGTGGATCATATAATGGCGATGGGGTTGTTTCGGCGGCCTCTGGGCTGGTGATGCGGCGCGACTAATCGAATCCAACCGAGTCGAGTCGGACGAGGCTGAATCGAATAACCGTCCGAATCCGTTGCAGTGGCCGATCACCGATCCGTTTGATTTGGGTCGTTTTTAGGGCACGCTTGTTTGCTTTCAGTCTGTGTGGAGGAGCTACAAGGGTACTGCTGCCCCTCCCCTGCACCGAGCTCACTTTTCACCGATCTTCTTTCTCTCTCTGTCCGTCGTTCTCTTGACAAAACGCGTCACTCGACAACGTACAGCGCCGCGCGCAGCCGCACTCCAGTCAAACAACAACAAAAACAAGGTCAAACGTAAGCGTTCGCGTTGGTTGCGTGCCTACGTGCGCGCGCACGACTTTCTCACGTTCTATGGCTCGTGCCTCGTGTTTCATTTTCTGCTTGTAGATAAGATATTAATTCTTACAATTCGGCGCCTTTTAAGGTACATAAAAATGTATTTCCTTTATAATGCACAATTCCCTCTGAATATAAGTATACTTGGCTGGATAAGAAAGAATGCTTTCTTAAATATTCAGTTAAATAAACATTAAACAGCATATAAAACTCAAATTCAACACATTTCATTTGAAAAACAAAGAAATGACCCTATTACGTAAATGACAATGACCACTACATTAGTGGTAGTTATGTTAATGTTTATTTAATCTTAGTAGAAAGGTTGTTTATTAGATTAAGTTATTAACTAAAGTCTATTAGGCTATAATGTATTGTCATATTTCCACATATTATATAAATAATGAAGATCATTGAGCTTGACCAGTATAACTTTTACTTGTTATAAGAATGTTTATATGAAATATTAGAATTCTAAAAACAAGTTTCAGTTTCCAGGCTCAAAGGGCATTAAGCGGTAGGAATTATGTGAATTACGCATATATTTTTAATTTCTTACACTGTAAAAAAAAAAAAAACATACATTCTTGTATGCATGTTTTGAATTTGTTTTCAAATTTGAAGGAAAAACAGCCAAACTATAAGTATACTTGGCTGGATAAGAAAGAATGCTTTCTTAAATATTCAGTTAAATAAACATTAAACAGCATATAAAACTCAAATTCAACACATTTAATTTGAAAAACAAAGAAATGACCCTATTACGTAAATGACAATGACCACTACATTAGTGGTAGTTATGTTAATGTTTATTTAATCTTAGTAGAAAGGTTGTTTATTAGATTAAGTTATTAACTAAAGTCTATTAGGCTATAATGTATTGTCATATTTCCACATATTATATAAATAATGAAGATCATTGAGCTTGACCTGTATAACTTTTACTTGTTATAAGAATGTTTATATGAAATATTAGAATTCTAAAAACAAGTTTCAGTTTCCAGGCTCAAAGGGCATCAAGCGGTAGGAATTATGTGAATTACGCATATATTTTTAATTTCTTACACTGTAAAAAAAAAAAAAACATACATTCTTGTATGCATGTTTTGAATTTGTTTTCAAATTTGAAGGAAAAACAGCCAAATGTGTCCAGCACCTCATGAAGTTGGCTGAAAGTCCAGAGTGTGATAAACTACATACCATTTTTTAAATAATTTAATACAATTTTAGAAATGGAGATTTTTTGAATCTGGTATTCCGACCTCTCAAAGATTATTGGGTTGTAAATATTTGAACAAGTGAAAAAAAATCACTAAATGATAAGAATGTTGCCCCAGTTTCAACAATGGCATCTGCTGATGCACAAAGGTTTATTTTGACTGACACACAATAAACCATTTAACACCCTTCATTCAACATGTGGAGTGTGTATTTCCTTTAACCAGTGCTCTTTATTGCTGCTGACCTTCTGTTTCACTGGAAGTTTCACCATGGTGGTGACCAGCAAGAGTCATTTACAGTTCAGGTGGATCTTTTTTTACTGTTCCTGGACAAAATCTGTGCATCATAACCACCAGTGACAGCCACACTCTGAATAGAAGAATAAGTTTAATCATATTGAAATCTGAAATGATTTTCAAGATGACTAAACTTTTTAAATCACATTTAAGAGCAATGGATCTCTGTATCGTTAAGCCCCCTGATCTGCTCTACCTGTCCATCAGGTTCACCAGCTGTGCATCAGGACATTTCCCCATTTACACTTAGAACAATAGATCTGCATTTGAGCGCTGACACGCTCCAGGCCAGAATGCTCTTTGTGATACAGCCAGCAGTGTGTATGCTGTATTATTTTCAGCCTTTTCTAGTCTGTTCAGCCTAGACTGAGGAAAGCTTTTACAAAAAGTAGAAGAGGAAGAACCCTGTACACCACGTCACTTCTTTTGAATAATCGTTTACTGGATGGGTAAGCCTCTTGAAATCAGTCAAGAACATATGCAGGTCATATTTCATCTTAGAACCAGAAGAAGAAATAATAGATTTTGCACCCAAACAATTTTAGGACCATTAATTGTTGTTTTTTCACTAAGACATTTTTCATGGCAAGTAAGCATCTCTCTCACTCCATGTCACAGTGATATATATATATATATATATATAAGTTATTTTGAGGGGACGGCAAATTTACACTGTTATACAAGCTGTACACTCACTACTTTACATTGTAGCAAATATACAGTATATATTCAAATTTAATTTCTTGTTTTTTCTTTTGTTTTCAGGGTGACCCAGAGAACTACATTAGACCCACTCTCACTCGCATCAACAAGCACTCAAACAATTCAATTGAAATTAGACTATTTAAAAGCAACACAAAATAAATTGCACATGGAAAGTGAGTTTAAGAGGATGTTTTTGTACCTACAATGGTGAAAATTAATAATAATAATAATAATAAATGTCACAAAACCTCTCAAGAACATATGCAGGTCATGTTTCACAAAATCTATCTATCTCTATATATATTCTTTTTTTTTATCATTATTATCATTAAGTCTATTTTTGTATCATTACTATTACTATTTTTATTATTGTTATTACATTATTGCAAAGGTACTGTAATATTATTTTGTTGCAAAAATTCAGTAAATGTTAATAAAAAATGTAGAGCTTGTGTTTAATTCTTATGAAAATAATGGGCCCTAAAGCAGGCATTGTTTTGTTTATATGAAAATCTAATTTCTTAGGATTTAGAAGTGGAATATGACCTGCATATTTCATATGACATTTATCCATTGATAATCAGAGGTAAAACATCTGTATGAAAAAGTATGAAGTTAGACCTCGGGCTTACATTTGATTCTAAAAAGATTCTAGTCAAGTCAGTTATGTTAATTTGTTACATCAGGAAAGTACACTGCATAATACTGCTCATTTTCCTGTATTCCTCTAAGGAGAGAGTCAGAATATCTTGTTTGAGGAAGTTGGTCAATCCCATGTGAGGTAATGTGGAGACATTTGAACAGACAAACAGGTTTCCTCAGGTGACCAAAGCTCTAAAAGGCCATTCAAACAGTTTCTAATGACCCAAAAAATGTGCCACAAACATTCACAGACTCACTTTCAAATCATTCTATTGCACAACTATCATGAGCACTACCGTTCAAAGGTTTGGGGTTGGTACGATTTATTAATATACAACTTTTTTTTTTTTAAGTCTCTTATGCTCACCAAGGCTGCATTTATTTGATCAAAAATACAGTAATAATGTGAAATATTATTACAATTGAATGGAACTGTTCTGTATTTTAATATATATTAAGATGCAATTTATTCCTGTGCTGCAAAGCAGAATTTTCAGCATCATTACTCATCTTCAGTGTCACATAATCATGAAGAAATGATTCTAATATGCTGATCTGCTGCTCAAGAAACATTTCTATTAATTAGCAATGTTGAAAACAGTTGTGCCGTTTAACATTTTAATGGAAACAATGTTATTTCTGTTTAAATTTTGTGACAATGTTTTTTCAAGATCCTTTGATGAATATAAAGTTCAAAATAAGTGTTTATTTGAAACCGAAATCTTTTCTAACATTATATAAAGTTATAAAAACTGTCACTTTTGATCAATTAAAATGCATCCTCGCTGAACAGAAAAACAAAAGAAATCATCTTGCCCCCAAGCTTCTGAACAGTTCATGCATCTACAGTTTTTAGCTTTTTCAAGAGATTTCAGAATAAACCTCATATTAATGTTTTAACCTCATTACTGTTATTTTTCTCAATTTCTTTATTACAGATGGAAACCGACAGTGTATCTTTACAGATCTTTAAATATGTTTATATTAACATCTGTGATTCAGTGTGCCTGTGCAGTAATTGCATGTCAATTGTTTGAAAATGTGGCAGCATCGTTTAAATTTCGCAGCTCCAGCTGAACTTGCCAATTTCTCTTGCCAAACGTGTTCATTCCAGTGCAAAAGCCAACTGAGCAAAAGTTTACTGCAGTATTTTTTTTTTCTGTGAACTTACATAATGACGATTAGTTCTGTTAAAGCAGTTCCTAATCAAAGAGCAAAGAAACACAATCTCAAAAAAGGACAAATGAAGAAAGATAAAGTTTCCACCAGTCGAACATATAAGCAACGTATGAACAAACAAACAGCAGAGACAGAATAGAGAGAGGGCACTTCTGTGGGGTCTGTTCTGCCATGGGTTGTATTTATGAGTGTTCAGGTTTCAGTTTCGAAAGCCTGTGTCCAGCAGCGGGAGATGGCAGCGTAATAGCTTCGAGTGTCACTCCGAGTCCGTATTCTATCAGTGGGGATCCGCTCAGCTCTGTTTCTCCAGCACCGCCCATTCTAGCCTGTCCCCATGGCAATAGACACACTAGCCAATGCCGATTCTCAGAGGAGGATTCAGCTCCTCCCACTCATCATCATTCTAAGATCACTTAACAGACCTACAGCTGAGGAGAGATGAATGCACTGTTGAGTGGTGCCATCAATCCCTACCCCAAGAGGTATATCTTTATTAGGGTACAAAATCAGTTGTCTTGTCTTAGAGACAGCCAGGACCCCTCTGAGAGCCAAAGGAGGGGAGGCTCCACGAGGGGAGACTCTCGGGGCTCAGCTCGCAGTCGCTCGGGCCATCAGATCCTCCAGCGCCTTGTCCTGGTCGTTATTGTGCACGAGCAGTACCTCTTTAATAGTGTCCCTCTCAAAGCCCATTTCCCCAAACCGAGACATCAGCTGCAGAAACTCCAAAGCCTGAGGAGAGAGAATATGGTATAAATTCAAACGCATATTGTCATCATTTATTCACCCTCGTTTTGTTTCAAACCTCTATGACTTTTTATTCCGTGCAACATTAAAGACGACGTAATGCAGAATGTCCTGGCTGCTCTTTCTAGACAGCAAAACTAAATGGGCCAGACCCAAAATAAATAACAACAGACATACACATTGTCCATTGGTCTTCTGAAGCAGTGCAATAGCTTCATGTAATGAAAAAGGTGTTTAAGTCATTATTAAGTTCTCAAATCTAATTTAAGCTCATTTTTCTTTCAAATACAGTGCGTCAAGGCAACCATTTGCAAATTATGAACTCAATGGGATTTGATAGCTATGGCAGAGGGGACAATTTTCTTAAATTTAAGATGTAAAGACTTCAATTCAACTTACATTTTTGCCAATTCTAATATCCTGACAGGCTATATTTTTTCAGTCCCAATTTTGAAAAATAGCACTGCAATATCTCACTTTGTGTTCCATGTACACTATAGTTTGGGGTCTGTAAGATTTAGAAAATATTTTTAAACTTATGCTCACCATAGCTGCATTTATTTGATCAAAAATACAGCAAAAACAGTAATACTGTGAAATATTATTACAATTTAAAACAACTGTTTTCCATTTGAAAATATTTTTTAAAATGTAATTTATTCCTGAATTTTCAGCATCATTACTCCAGTCTTCGGTGTCACTTCAGAAATCATTCTAATATGCTGATTTGGTGCTCAAGAAACATTTTTTATTATGATCAATGCTGAAAACAGCTGTGGTAATATTTGTGTGGAAAAAGTGATCCTTTTTTCAGGATTTTTTATGAATGGAAAGTTCAAAGGAACAGCGTTTATTTGAAATAGAAATACTACAAAATATTATATTAAAATATAAAAATCTTTACTGCCATTTTGATTAATTTAATGCATTCTTACTAATAGTAAAAGTATTTATTTCTTTTTAAAAAGATCAACAGGCAAACGTTTGAAGACCATTAGCTCATAATAGGGTTAGTTTAAGATTTTAAAAGAATTATATTTAGTAAGAACAGAGTTGTTAGAGAGTCTGTGAAGCATATAATATTTCCTCACAGCTTGTGTTGTTTTTGAAAATCAAAACGCTTAAGACATAGTTAACTGCACAGTTACTTATAGTAGATGGATGCAGTTAACCATCTTAAGCGTTTTGATTTTCAAAAACAACACAAGCTGTGAGGAAATATTATATGCTTCACAGACTCTCTAATTGAGAAAAAAGATTGCCACTTGATCACTTAGAAAACACAACATAGTCCAAGAGCATTCAATTACAAGCATTTCTTGGACTGTAAACAGATAAGCCTCTTCATTTACAGGAAGTTTGCAACCTAAAACATATTGATAAACTAAGCATACTAAAATAAGTACTAACACAAAACTATATCCCACGCTGACAAACATGACGATAAAACCGATTTTGAGGTCATTTCACCACCCATGACCTCTTACATAAAAAGCATAACAGCTGATCAGAAGGAGAAAAAAAATCATAACCAGTCTGGTAACTACATACAGCTAACCGATTTGTTGCGTAATAATAAAAACAACAAGAAATTCATACAGACAGCAAGCTAGATGAGTCCAACACCAGTTCAATTTCAACAATCAATCTTTAGATATTATACTGATGATGAGACAAGCTGTTTTATGCTGAAGCTGGATGATGACACACATTTCTCCCTGGCTCCTTACCAAGCTACTACGATTTTCTCCTTTTCTGTCCGTCATATTAACCAAATAGGGAAAAAACGTATGACCTAAAACCAAAGATCTGATACTTACGAACTAGAGAAGCACGGAAACGAACGTGAACGTTTTGTTAAAAACAACTGTCTAGTTGTGTTTCAGTTCAGGTTAGTGAAGCGACCTAACAGGGCCCGACTTCCTCTGCCACCGCCCCTCAAACTGCCCCTCCGTGTCCCACCGGGGTCCTTACCAGTATCTGCTCTGTCTTCGGTCTCCGAAAAGGTGTCTCACTTGTCCTTGGACATACAAGCTCCGGTCAACGTTCTCATATGAGGAGATTTACTGAAAACCGAGTATATTTCCTGCTTCATCGCGGAACGCCATCTTTGTTTGACCGCCTCCTTTGGTTCCTGTGTGACGACATGCGTTGCCACTGAATGACGACAGGTTCGACCAATCAGCGAAGAGCTAGGGAGGAGACGTCATCTGTGTCGGCCTTTGCACATGGTTTCAGCACGGGTTCGAGTCCATCTTAATATAAGAAAAAGAGATGTTATATTTTATTTTGATAAAAAAGATATGGATAACAGTCACATTTTTATGCTAAATCTTGTCATATGTTTAGGTAAGTTTTACATACACAAATGTAAATGGTCAGAAAGGAAGCCCAGTATCTCCCACTTCAAAGTTGATTTGAGGATTTCTTTTGAAACTCTTCAAGGTCTGTCAAATCGGAAAGCAACCAGAACTATGGACACGCTCAAAGAACTAAACTCCTCTTTTCTATTGTGATCATTGATGTAGACCCTCCTTATTATTTATTTATTTTTCTTTCCCTTTTCTTTTTTTTTTCTTCCAGAAAACGTGAACACCATGTTTGTAACCTTTTGTTATACTTTTGAATGTTAATTGTTCAGCATATACAATTAATAATAAATTTAAAAAAAAAGGGTTTGAGTCCATCAACCTGGAAAAGTAATGTTTTGATGTATTTTAGTTAGTTGAATATTGTTTATTAGATCTATCCATCCTTCGTTCCATCCATTAGACTACACGTTCAAAAAAGTCTTATATAAAAAAATGAATAGACATTACGCAAAGTAGCTGATTTTGGCATAAAAAGGATATACGGTTATACAGGCCAACATTTACATTTACATTTGGTCATTTAGCAGACGCTTTTATCCAAAGCGACTTACAAATGAGGACAATGGAAGCAATCAAAATCAATAAGAGAGCAATGAATAGTAGGGCTTTTCCTGCTTACGTTTCCATTTTAATCGTTTTATTATTATTATTATTATTATTATTGTGCATTTTAATTAGTGTTTACTTATCTTTATTTAGCCTATATTTCTTTTTTATTCTTCCTCTGTTTTTTACTCTTACTCGGTTGATATTTTTATTTTATATATTGTAAATTACGTTTTATTTTATTTATTTATTTAATAAATAATTTATTTATTTAATAAATATATTTAAATTACGTTTTGCTTACTAAAATATTCTCATATATATCCCATATTTATATAATTGTAATATAATATTTTTTTTATGTATGTAATGGGCACTACCTATGTAATACATATGTTGTGTAGTGACAAGTATTTACAGTTGAGTGTCCTGCGTCATGACGCACTCGCGTACAGACGTGTACAGGCACGCACTCTGATAACCGGAAGCATCAATAGAAGCGATTGAGAAACGAAAAATATTATCACCTGTCGATTGCGTTCATATAGCTCTTTTGCGCTCCCATTAATTTCCATATCCCACTTCCATAACACCCATACCCTTTCGTTAATTCGCTGTCGACTCGGTCTGGACGGATACAGCAGAGCTGGCTGTGTAATTCTTTGCGCAAACGGGGGGTTTGGAGGTGCGTTATAGCCTCGCTACAGAACAAATGTAAACAAGCAGCTGATCAGCTGTGCGGCCGAAGACGCGCAACGAAACGGCGTGATGACAGCGACCCGCAGGGTTTGACAAACATATTCTGCATCATATAAAGCCAAATTAGAGATGTATTTGCATGTTGTAGAGTTGTTGTAGACGTTAGAGCAGTACACGAGGACAACTCCCAACCAGCGGCAGATACAAAACAAACGGCTTATTTTTTTATTATTAATATGTTTTTTTACTGATTAGAAGAGTGATGAATAGATTTATTTGTCTTAATATCTGCTTGAAGATTGGATAACTTCAAGTCTAACAGGAAAAGCAACAGGATTCGAGAAATAACAAGGGAAGAATAAGGTTAACAGTCCCTTCTGGGCCCCACGGAATAAATAAATATCAGAAACGTATTAATATTTACATGAAGCTGGAAGTTTAAGGCACCCAAACATCACATTTCCTGGGGAGCAGCAGAGGTAACAAACAGTGTATAAACATGTTTTTATTTATCAAAATGTTGTTGCATAGCTTTGGCATAGGAAGCTAAACATACATTTGCACAGACTTTTTTTTTCATTTTGTTCAATTTTCTTTACATTTGCAATTTACCTCTCAACAGCCAAATAACATAACTAATCTACTAATCTGTGTGTAAATATATATATATGTATATGTGTGTGTGTATATATATACATATATATATATATACAGTATATATATATATATATATATATATATATATATATATATATATATATATATATATATATGTATTAGTAGATTAGTATAAATACTTTCCGTACCCACTGTATATATATTGTTGCCACAATGAGATTATACCCCCCAAAAAAACGTAATATATTATTCTGTGAAAAAACTAAACCGTTTTTCTTGAATTCACAGTAAAGCTGAAGGATCAGGACTGTCATGGCACACCAGCAGATGCCGAGCTCTCAGAAGGCTCTGATGCTGGAGCTGAAATCCCTGCAGGAGGAGCCAGTGGAAGGTTTCCGCATCACTCTAGTGGAGGAGTCGGACCTCTACAACTGGGAGGTGGCCATCTTTGGCCCTCCAAACACACTTTATGAAGGGGGCTACTTCAAGGTAATCCCTGTGTGAATTTAAATGATGTTCTTGAATGCTTACCAATGAACTAGAATGTTGCGAGTCATATAAAGTAATTCAGGTCTGCATAATATTTAATTTTGAAGTGTACTAGGGCTGTGCAATTAATCGCATGCGATTGCCATGCGCATCTCGTCAGTAAAGCCGGTTCCGTGATTAGTAGTAAATCTCCATCACGATTCTCCAGGCGATTCGATCTGTGATAATGAACGCAAATTGCCTAATTGTCAGTGCTCTACGGCTCTGTGTAGTAAATGCCGCTCCATCTGAAAGCAGGTAATGGAGATTTACTACTAATCACAGAACCGGCTTTACTGATGAGATGTGCATGACAATCACATGCGATTAATTGCACAGTCCTAAAGTGTACCTCACATACTTGTTCTCCCATGTTTTGCACTCTCAAGTTCTTTGCCTGGTGGTGCATTCCTTATACTCTAGAGCTCTATTTTTAGCCCTGATAGATGTTAATGACATCTCGACATGAGAGCTAAAAAGAGAAAGACGGCATGTTTCAACCGTATTTCCTGTGGTCACTTATTCTCAGTGGCATATTATCAACTGCAGTAATCAGTACTTTTACAGTGACGCAGTCCTCAAATTTACCACAATAAAATTCCTCAGCATTTTTTCGAAGTTATATTATTGTATCATAATATGCCACAAGTCACAGTCTGGTGAAGTTTTATTTATGAATTTAGGGTAGCAACTGACTTGAAAATTATCATCACTTACTCACCAATGGATCCTCTGCAGTGAATGGGTGCCATCAGAATTAAGAGTTCAAACATCTGATAAAAACATCACAATAATCCACAAGTAACCCCCACGACGACATCTTGTGAAGTGAAAGGCTGCTTGTTTGTAAGAACAAAATCCACCATTAAGGCATTTTAAACATCAAACTGTTGCCTTTGGCTAAAATACGAGTCCTCTATCCATAATGTTGCTGCCTCTCATCTACATCTTGGATGAGTAAATTCTTGGGTGGGTACATTTTTATTTTTGGGTGAACTATTTCTTTAATATGTTTAAAAAGTCGTTTGCGGATTGATTCCCCCATGACATTTGAGGAAGGATTACCTTTTGGCCGAATAGTAAAACATTCAATATTTTTGGCCAGAGAAATTACACACTTCACTTTTAAATATTTTTAATTAATGGCAAGTACCTTCATGAAGCATAAAATCACCCTCAAACTATTTCAATATTCACTTTCTGTCTTCCATCATCCTATAACTGAACAGCCAGGGCCCAACAGCATAGTCAAGGTGATATACTGTATCTAATGCAGCATGTTTTAACAAAGATTATGGTATATTTCTAAACACAGGCTGGGGTTTCACCCATACTTAAAATACCAAAGTATTTAAAATGTGCATCTGTCAGGCCTCAGCAAGATATTGCATGGATAGAGATATTGCATCTTTGGTGAATAGCATTTATAATTTGTTATGCCAAAAATAATGTCTATTTTCTTATTTTTTATGTATGCGGGGTTTCCTGTGAAAATTCCAGTTTTTCTAGCTTCAAAGAATTGTGTCGTTTGTTCCAATTTTTTCCTAATGACCGTTAATGGAGGAAGTTAGATTAGATCAGGTTTTAGCTTTCTAACACTAAATGCTGTGACTGAGACTCAGATTTTCATTCACGCTGTCACAGTCACGCTGCAGTCTGACTTGAGCACTAGCCAGTTCATGTAGTCTGACACATAATCAGCCGTCAACAGCAGAGGTGAGTAGCAGGAATTCCACTTTCAGAGAAGATACAGTCTCAGCAGCACTGCACTCATGTTTAAAGCAATAATTCACTCAACAATGACACTTCTCTCATTATTTACTCACCCTCATGTCATTCCATACCGGTTAGCCTTCTTTATATTTTGTGGAACACAAAAGAGGGAAGATTGTGACTGTAATTTTTGAGGTTCTTGAGGTTTCAAGCTTCAAAAAAGATGCAGAAGCATCGTAAAATTATCATAAAAGTAGTTTTTACGACGGCCAGAATTTTCTTTTTTGGCTGAACTATTCCTTAAAAACCGTACTCATGGCCATAGCCACATAACCTATAACTACTCTCACAATCATTGCCGTTTTTATAACTAAAATCAAAGCCACAATCACTTTTAAAATCACTATTGTAATATTAACCACAATCACAATACTTAGCACAAAATAGTGCTATCAGCACTGCACTGAAGAGAGTGTAGTATTTAACACAGCACTGCACTGTCATCTCAAGCGCGCTTTTGGCACCACATCAGAAACCTGATGAAGAGTACATAATGTTGAGATTCATGAGGATTATGTTGATATGAACCCTTTTAGTCTAATGTGTCCTTTTCATTTTTTGGAGTGATTAATAACGGCTCATTTACCAGTTATAATATGGCTCATATGAAAGCTAATAATGCTCCATGTTTCACTCTGCCTCTTTCCCCAGGCCCATATAAAATTTCCTATCGACTACCCCTACTCTCCTCCGTCCTTCCGATTCCTCACCAAGATGTGGCATCCAAACATCTATGAGGTGAAAATGCTTGTGTACGCCTGTTTAATGCATGTTTACTGTGCCACTATCTCCAACAATTGGATTACAACAGCTTAAAACTTACATTAGTAATCATACAGTAACAATGTTGCCATGGCTATGTAATGTACATCTCTCAACCACAGAATGGCGACGTGTGTATTTCTATTCTCCATCCTCCTGTGGATGACCCTCAGAGTGGAGAGCTGCCCTCAGAGCGATGGAATCCCACACAGAATGTCAGGTATTATGGTGAAAATACCCACAATTACACTCAAATAAATGCTGTTCTTTTGAACTTTCTATTCATTATAGAATCAAAAAGAAGTATAATATTTTCCACAAAAATATTATGCAGCACAACTGTTTTCCATATTGATGATAATAAGAAATGTTTCTTCAGCATCAAATCAGCATATTAGAATGATTTCTGAAGGATCACGTGACACTGAAGACTGGAATAATGATGTTGAAATTTCAGCTTTGCATCACAGAAATAAATTACATTTTAAAATATATATAAAATAGAAAAGAGTTATATTAAATTATAATATTTTACAATAGTACTGTTTTTACTATTTTTTGATCAAATAAATGCAGACTTGGTGAGCACGAGAACTTTTTCAAGAACATTTCAAAAATCTTAAAGACCCCAATCTTTTGAACGGTAGAGTAACATGTGTGTTTGTCTGTAGAACAATCCTGCTGAGCGTGATCTCACTGCTTAACGAACCCAACACCTTTTCTCCTGCAAATGTGGACGCCTCGGTCATGTTTCGCAAGTGGAGGGACAGCAAAGGCAAGGACAAGGAATACGCAGAGATTATAAGGTACGACCACTTTATCATTTAAGTGACTTCCATGAAAACACATACTCAGCTTGTTCCATCAAATTACATTAAAGGGTTAGTTCACCCAAAAATAAATTACTCACCCTCAAGTCATCCTAGGTGTATATGACGTTCTTCTTTCAGATGAATCCAGTCGGAGTTATACTAAAAATTGTCTTTGATCTTTCAAGCTGTTTAATGCCACTCAGCGGGTGTTGCATGCATCAGTCCAAAATAAGTTAAATAAAAAGCACCCATCCATAAAAATGTCTCCCACGGCTCCAGGGGTGGACAACGGCCTCCTGTATCCATATTCAAAACGTAATAATCACTTTAATGTAGCTTGCGCACACTGTTGTACACTGGAAGCAGCTCCAGGCAGATGACGAATAAAGTCGGCTTTGCGTATGCGCCGCTCAGAAGTGACGCACGCGGAAGCGCAAGGGAGAGATCAAAACAAAACAACGGTCACTAATTAGAAGTACAAAACGAGGATTTGTAAAGAAGAAGGTCCGAGGATTTCGATATAAGCCTAGAGGAGACTGGGTTTCCTTTGCTAAAGTAAGGAAACTTTGCTTCCTTTGCTCCTGTTAACAAACGTTTGTTTTCACGAGACTCACTGGCGCATGCGCAACGCTGAACTCATACGTCATCCTCCCGGAGCTGCTTCCGTGTACAACTGTTGGCGCATGCTACATTAAAGTGATTATTACGTTTTGAATATGGATATTTTTCTTACAAAAACGCATCTATTCGCTACAGGAGGCCTTTGTTCACCCCCTGGAGCCATGTGAGACACTTTTTTTTTTAATGGATGGGCGATTTTTATTTAACTTCTTTTGGACTGATGCATGCAACACCCGCTGAGTGGCATTAAACAGCTTGAAAGATCAAAGACAATTTTTAGTATAACTCCGACTGGATTCGTCTGAAAGAAGAAAGTCATATACACCTAGGATGACTTGAGGGTAATTTATGGGCTAATTTTCATTTTTGGGTGAACTAACCCTTTAAGTTTAAAGGTCAGTCTGCAACTTTTTTCCTGCTCTTGAACTTTTTAATATAAACACAATTTTTCAATATATTTTTTGTTCACTTCACCTCACAATGAATACAGTACATCAAGTACAGATGCATACAATTAAATGATTGATATATTATTAATGATGCTTAATCATGTTTTTTCAAAACCTCCAACTCCAATCTGTCCTGCACTGTTTGTGCTACAGACATTAATAATACTTCAAAATGTTTGGCTTGCTGAGGAGACTTCTCATAAAAATCCAAGCTTATGATTGTTGCCTCTTGGTTGATAAAATGGGTGAAAATGTTCAATAGACTTGCTTTGAAGTAGAGGAGCTAAGCCATATCTAGAGATCAGAATATCATAGAGACTTGGCCATGTGTGTGTTTTTGACTTGGGCTATTAAGCATCAACCCTGAACACTACGAAAAGAAGTGAAAGATATTTATGCATGCGGCTGTTACATTTGCATCTGTTAAAAGAAGCTGTGAAGCCTTAATTGATTTGCAGCGTGCTAACACAAAACTCACAACTGTATAGCAATGCTTCAACAGCCACTCAGAATAACTTAGTAACAGCAGCAGCACCCTGGCAACCAGCCAGCACACCCAAGCATTGTGCACAACTTATATATTCTTCAGGAAATATCAAAATTTAACTATGCCACTGATATCTGAGTTGGCTGAGATCTAGATTAAACATTGATTGATGCCAAATGTTGGCCCAACACGTTTCCATTGCACCATCCCACTGAAGTTCAGGACATACTGCTCCGAGTGTGTCTTTATTTCCCTTGGCCAAGTAAACATTAGTGAAAAATTGTGAACTTCTCCCTTTTTGACATTCTTTCCTAATAAAAAGAAGTCTCTTATACTCACCAAGGCTACATTAATTGAAAAAAATGTATTGTGTTATTTATAAGAAATATTATTGTATTAATTATTATTAATATTTAACATTAATATTGAGAAATATTATATAAAAAATAATTACTCCAGTCTTCAGTGTTACATACTCCTTCAGAAATCATGCTGATTTGGTACATAAGAAACATTTCTTATTATAATCAATGTTGAAAACATTTGTGCTGCTTAATATTTTGTGGAATCCATGATAAATGCATTTTTTCAGGACTCTTTAATGAATAGACCATTCAAATAACAGCATTTATTTAAATTAGAACTTATTGGTAACATTATAAATGTCTTTACTGTCACTGTTGATCATTTTAATGCATCCTTGCTAAAAAAATTATTAGTTACTTTAAAAAAAAAAAAAACTTACTGACTCCAAATTTTAGTGTATATTTAGAGACAGTTGTTACTTTTGCTGCTATTACAATAAGCCTTAACAGGTTTGCTGACACTGTCTTTGCGTTTTGCACAGGAAGCAGGTAATATCCACGAAGGCAGATGCAGAGCGAGATGGAGTTAAAGTACCAACGACGCTAGCTGAGTACTGCATCCAGACCAAAGTGCCTTCTCATGACAGTAGCTCTGACCTGCTCTATGACGATCTATATGACGACGACATAGAGGAGGAGGAGGATGACGACGACGAGGCAGAGGCCAGTGGGATTGGCAGCGAAATGGCCGGGGACTGTTTTGGTGACGAAGACGACTCTGGCAACGAGGAATCTTGACCTCCTTCCACCGTTTCCGTGACACTGACCTTCGCCCTCTCAATATTCTTTACCCTGACAGCCTCATAAAGCTTTCTTTTTCCACTCTGTTCCAAAAAACTCATTACTTAAGATCTCTGTCCTTTTCTGCACCTCCCCATTTCTAAGTAAAGTACACTTTGGCTTCATAAAACCAGTCATTTTTTGTAACATTTCACATACCACCTTCTCCTGCCTCTTAACCTCAGGGCTTTAGGATAATCAAAGCTTGTCAATCCACCTTAAACATGTTCATTTCAATATATATATTTTTTTATTGCAGCCTTTTTTCGAGGGCTAGTTCCCTCATAATTAAATTCTGTTGTGATTTACTCACCCTCATGTTGTGAGATAAATTTTATTAAGCTGTTTTGCTTTTCCTTATAGGTAATAACCAAACAATCCCAGGTTCCAAATACACCTAGTTCAATTGGAAGATATAAACTCACAATTCTGAGAAGAAAAGTCTGATTTGTGAATTTTAAATCTGTAATTGCAAGAATAAATGAATTTAATAATAAATAAAAAAACAAAAACAAAAAAAACACCTGTGAGATGTAAACTCAGAATAAAAAAAATGACTGAGATGTAACTTAAAATTCAGAATTACGAGATGTAAACTCAGAAATCAGAGGAGTGAAAAATGAATGGTGAGATGTAAATTCAGAATTTAGAGAACACAGTCCAAATTGCAATATACAATGGCTTCAGAAGAGGAAAAGGCCTAAAGCTCTCATTTATGCTCCAGGCCATTGATTCTTGCATGTTGCGTAACCAAATGTAGTTTGCCAGTTTGAATCAAGATTAGGAATGACACGAGGGTGAGTAAATAATGGTAAAAACTTTCATTTTTAATCAAACTAACCCTTCAACCCACTCCTATGAGCTAGTTATGCCTGGTAAAATCACCACCAAATGAATGTTTTGTTCATTTCCCAGATTTTCAAGTATGTACAGTTTCTTCAGAACTGTCTTTACAGTATAGGGCTCCACTGATTCCACTACATGTACCTAAATTCCCACTTTTCCACAAGAAAAGTAAGTATTCAAGGGTGGGAAAATGGAGAAAGAATAGACCGTTTCCTTCTCATTAACTTTAAGTGTCATCATTTTGACCAGCCATCCACATCAGCAGGGTCACCTTCACAACTACATCCTCTTATGCGCAGCTCCCACCCCCAAATCATGAGCTTTTTGAGCCATTAAATCACGGTGTCAAATTATATGGCACATGAAGGTGCTTGCAAGTGCTCAGCAACACTAGCATTAAAACTACTTCCAGCACACCTTCCATTTTGCTGACCCAGAAACTATGATGAGACTGTTTAAGTCACTATGATGATGTCCCACGTTCAGCCCCTAATATTCGATCCACCAATTTTGGCTGAAGGTAATTATACTGTTATGCTTTTAAATAAAAAACTCTTTAGAAAATATTTTAAAATAAATGAAAATGACAAACACTTTAACTAAAATTAAAATGAAAATATAAAAATAAAGCTCATTCGAAATATATACAAACTATAATGGAATCGAAATAATACTAAAACGACATTGACTCTTGAACAGTGTTTTTCATTTACTGGTTTCATTATAGTTAATAAATTAGGACAATCTGCATGATGTAGAATTCATAGCAAAATAACTTGATTTATAGATATAGAACATACAATTTATAGATTATTTCTGATGGACCCTAAATTTCAACATCGAAAAACTACAGTGGAGAAACTTTTGTGGAAAAGCAACAATGAGATTAGAAAATGTGTGTGTGTGTGTATAGAATGACCAAAAACCCCAGCGGCTCATTTTTTTTAGGTTATATACAGTGGTTTATGAAGCACTGTTTTATTACCACAGGGGAAAAATGGAATTGTTACATTTTTGAAAATCCACTTACAAGCCCTGTAGTCTATCAATTTTAAGTATTTTTGTCTGTGTGTGTGTTTTTTTAAATTATTTTCTGTGTTAATTAACAGTGTCGTTTTTAGAGCTTACCTCATATTGAACCCACAACATTCTTTGGAATGAATGGCAGCTTTGTTTTGTTTTTTTTGTTGGTGGAAATTTAGAGGTTGTGAGTTTGTCTTAACATTTTTAACAACTTGAAAGCAACCTATTATGAATTCAAATCAAATTCAGTAGAGACGCAAAAAGGACAAAAGTCAAATGTCTATTCCCACAGTCAAATTTCATACAACACATCAGGTCCACCTTTAAACCGTCATTAATTCAACATCCTAAAACGATTTTATAAAGGTGAGTCAGTGCAAGCATTTAACTCTGTCAGTGTCTAAATGTCAAAACCAAGTGTAAATATTACTGTTTGCCCTGTGTTTCTAGATACTGCTGTGCTGCTGTAAGTGTGTCCTGTAAGTCCTGTTTTTTTGCCAGCTTGCAGGCTTCCTCTAGTCTGGCCCAGCGGTAATCCTGGTGTTCGTCTGAGAGAACGACCTGTGTGTTTGGATCACGGAGCTCAGCCAACCAATAGAGGACCTCTTTGTCCTTTCCTCGGACCTGATAGTGCAACCTCTGCAGGAAGCCATCGACCATACACAGGTGATCTTTACCTAAACCTGCTTCCTCCTGTGTCTCTCTCAAGGCGGTGGTGAAGTCGTCCTCTCCAGGGTCAACATGACCTGATGGGGGGAGGATAAAGTTATTCTTTCAGTAACAATACTTAGAAATTGAAGATGTCTTCAATTGATTTGCTGCGGACAGGTCATGTGACTTAACTACCTGTATTAGTTGCAGCAATGGTTGCTGTTTTTTGTTTTACATTTAGTTTATAAATGCTTTACTGACTAATTTTCTCTTAGTAGAAACAGGCGTTATGGTGAAAATAACCTATAATATTCTTTTAAATAGGCACGCTTAACAAGCTTGTGGTTCAAATAGAAGTTGAGAGTAAAATGAGTTGAGCACAGTAAAAGCATCATGAGAAGCTGGGAGATGCCCCTTTGGGTGGCGTCCAGTCATGTTCCCCGTCGGATGTCTGCAGCAGCAGGAACTCTATATTATCGGGGGGAGGCTGCTGGGCCAAACGCCGAAAAATGACAAATCCACACGCCCGCAATGCCATGACCTGGAAATACACAGTCTAGTAAGCACATGCAACTATCCATTACAGTTTTATCATATAAAATGTTTCACTGTGCGTTCTAAATTTGAAAAAGATTCAATGAAAATGTGTAAAGTACAAACAAAGGCTCGAGTCTTTATTAAACTGATATATAAATTGAGATGTTTGAGAATGCCTGTCTGTCATAGCTGTTTATTTTCTAAATACAGGATGTTTTTATTATATAATTATATAATTACATACATATATATATATATATTTAGAATATAAAAATCCTATTTTTATATTATTACATTTTAATGCATTTTATTTTTTTACATTTTAAACTCTTTCTTAGTGTTTAAAGATGTGTTGCAATGTTTAAGAAGGCCTATGGTGTATATAATTTTGTACAAACATTATATATAATATTTATTTGGAGAATGTTTTTATTATTATTATTATTACTATGCTTTCTAGAGACATCTGAACAGCTCATACACCATCATTTACCATGTGTTGAGTATTATTATTTGAATTGTAGAAACCCTGCTGAGAAAACCATCTTAAACCAGTCTTAGCAGGTCTGTTTGCTGGTTTTAAATGAGTTTCAAAGTCAACTTTACTGTCATTTTTAGCACATCGCGTGACAATGGATGAAAAACGAGTTCCCTCAGGAAACAACAGTAAACAGTTTAGAAACACAACTTGCAAACCAGCTGGTTTAAGATGGTTTTCCCACAGGAAATGTCAACTACAAGTATCCTGAATGCGTTTTATGTCGTTTAAATACAAACTGTGTGTTGGAAATACTATTTAACGAAAATGGACTCGCTTATGTGTAACATGCATGTACTTCCTCGCAGGTTAGCACAATTCATTAGCCGCTTAAGATGAAATCATTTCACTTACGTCTAGTCAGTAATGACTGAATGCTCCTTTTTGTTTAGAACAGATGCGACATAACCTGGCACATAAAAAAAGCGAATGGCACATGGAAAAGTGCTCAGTATGCAGGCTGCTTTCTGTTTTGACGGCGCACCGTGGCGCAGCTGCGTACCTGCTGCGCAAAGATGATGTTCGAGACTACGCAGTGTGAGTCGCTGTCTGATTGGCTCCCTCAGTGGTAATTTAAATAAGAGGAGTCTAGCTACTTTGTTTGTTGTAACCAGCGTTGGGCTAGTTACTCAAAGAATGTACTATATATTACTCATTACTAGATTTTCCTTTCAAAAGTGATATTGTAACTTATTACTTTCTGGCAACCGTAATTATATTACACTTCTAGTTACATTACTTGTTCTTCACGCCCCACAGAAATTGTAACTGTATCTTCCACATAAAATTCTTCTAGAATATTACTAACAACATATTTCTGCCTCATCATTTGACCAGAATCCACACTGGATCGCAGTCAGAAGTTATTACAAACACCCAATAGTGATTGATAGTGACATTCAAGTAGAAGTGTTGAATTAATCTCATTAATTGTGTGTAGCTTGAAGCTAATTGTAATTTCTCCGTTATCCATATACGATTATATTCCATTCTGTATTTGATCAAATCACATAAGTTTGTAAGAAACCGTTTAATTTTCCAAAAATATTTTTAATTGTAGTAATATAATCAGTGTTGGGGGTAACGCATTACAAGTAACGCGAGTTACGTAATCAGATTACTTTTTTCAAGTAACTAGTAAAGTAACGTATTACTTTTTAATTTACGAGAGAATATCTGAGTTACTTTTTTTTCAATTTATTGATTGACAGCTCTCCCCATTTTGAGAGAAATCAGATGTTACTGAAATAAATAAATATGAATATGCATTAATTCGCCTCACTCACACACAAAAAAACACAGACTCAGTATTCCTCAAAATGAATAAAAATAATACAACTCAGAATATGACGCAAACCTGCAATAATTAAATGTTAAACAACACAAATATCCTTTATGTATTTAATCACATTCTATTAAGCAATGTCTTTGCTTCTGACCTTCGATGATCCAGTTCAACCGTACTAATAAGCACAAATTACTCTAGACGAACATTTGTGTGTCTTTTTTTATTGCTGAAGTGTGTTGAAATGTCTTCTTCTGCATTCTACTGTATGGACGTACATTTACTTTCCCTTCAGCCTGAGGCTTATTCATTTCACTTCTGGTGTGAAAGGCTTTTATATTTGCCAAAAATATAACTTGTTTATTTTAAAAACAAACAAGCAAGCCCTGTCCAGATTTTAAACAGTAACGCAAAAGTAACGTAACGCATTACTTGCCATAAAAAGTAACTAAGTAACTGGATTAGTTACTTTTTTATGAAGTAACGCAATATTGTAATGCATTACTTTTAAAAGTAACTTTCCCCAACACTGAATATAATGTACCACATGCTGATCAGAGGGATGTGGGTGGGATGTCAGAGTAAAGTAAAGCCACAACTTACACAACAGTGTTCAGATCATCTTTTTTTCCCCTGACAAAATCAATACAATGCAATATTTCTATATTCTAAGCTTTCCTGCTGCACTGGGGGCATCACATGCATGTGTGAGTCGTGAAAATGATGAAAATAAATCTAGGAATTATTTGATTGTTGGATTTTAAATCAGCATGGTTGAGGCATCAAAAGTAACTAAGCTGTTTTATGGATGATAACTAATATTATTACTGAAATCTTGTTAGTAGTTACACTACTAGTTATTGCAAAAAATATTATTACAGTAACTAAGTTACTAGTAACTAGTTACTGCCCAACACTGGTTATAACAGATATAAAATGTTATTTGATGGGGAGGACTTGGAATGTAATAATGTATAAAAAAAATTTGTTTTGGAATAATATGATATTACGCGCAATCCTGATGGATAGATGGGCAAAATACAATTATATGCAACTTTATAAAACTTCATTTTGATATCGGAGAAATCGCAGTGTAAAAATCTGTCAGTTAGTGGTTTATACATTAAACAAAGATCATAGATCAAGATCCTGATCTGCGGGGCTGATAGGGCTGAACGCAGCAGCCGGTGCAGACCAGAACAAACTTCAACCATACAGGACGCATGTTTCACAAGATACACAGCCAACAGGAGCAGGACAAGGTAAAACTGCTAACAATATTTGCTCAGCAATGTCTATGTTGATATGTAAATTTTAAAGGTTAATTAAAAAATTTAAATGATAGATTGAAAATATATTTTGATACATGTGTTAAATACTTAAGCATTTTGCCTTTAGTAAACTAATTTTATAACGTGACAGTGTTTGAGAAGGCCTATCATAGCTATTTTAACTTATCATAATTGACTTTTTAGTATTATATTAGTAATTCTTTTTTTAAATAGAAAATACTGTTTCATATACAATTATATTGTTACATTTTAATTCTGAATATTTTATACTATTTTTTATTTCGTATGGTTTATATAATCCTTTGCAAACACTGGCACAAGGAATTGTGCTAGTATGCAGGCAACTAGGCATACATATGAATTACTTCTTTCTGTTCTGCTTGAGGTTTATATAAATTTACAACAAATTATATATATATATATATACGTATATATGAAATAATATACTTATTCTGACCTGTACTTATTAAAACTTATAAAAGAATAAGTGACCATACTTAATTTTATTATATTTTAAATGATTAAAACTTAAAAACAAAATTCTTTGATATATACATTAAACCTAAAAGAAGATATTTTGAAGAACGTGGGTAACCAAACAGTTGCTGGTCCCCATTGACTTCCATATATGAAAAAAAAAATACTATCAGTGAAGACAATGGGGACCAGAAACTGTATGGTTACCAACATTCTTCAAACCATCTTCTTTTGTGTTCATCAGAAGAAAGAAATTCATACAGGCTTGGAACAACTCAAGGGTGGGTAAATGATGACAAATCTTTCATTTTTGGGTGAACGATCTCTTTAATGCCTACTGACATTGCTTACTTTCAAACAAACACCTGGTACATTTTAAACTTAGAACAAGAACCAAGAACAGTGCATTTATGTAACTTGAATGCTATTCATATAACATTATATTTTCACAGAAAACGTAATTAAAACCTCACCACATCCATGGATAAAAACAAGCCTTCTCGTATGTATTTTATCGGCAAGAAAGAAGATTTCATTCAGACTAAGAGGATGGATGTGACTCTGGATGGAAGAGACATTCTTATTATATATCATCAAAGAACTTTCTATGCAATGGACCTGCAGTGTTACCCTGAGTAGCATGAAAAGCATCTTTACTTATTTTTCTGCACTAGAGGGAGACAAAGTAGAAGATTTAGCACTGAAATACAGTATTGCTGTTGAGGAAGTGTGCCAAGTACAATTCCAGAGGCAAAAGCCCAGAATCAAAAAGGCTTTTGCTCGGGTCAGCTTAGTGCATATGGGTGCTAATGACATTTTTTTTTTCTTTCAGATGCAGGCAGTAGTTTGTAGCTCGGAGATATTGAGGTAAAGCCATTTCTGTTGAAGCAGATTCAGTGATCCATAGGCACACTTTACACACATTGTTACCTCTCATGTGAACTCTGATCCCATTTATTGTTTCATGCGCAGGAAATCAACAATAAGCTCTGTATTGTGTGCCCAAAACACAAGTATAAGATCACTCTGGCTGAAGGTGAGGGGTTATACAAGGCAACCAACCCCGCAGAAAAAGTCCCTATTCCACAGTGGTATTCCAAAGGCATGAAGCAGAGAGTGCACAAAGTGACGGAAGTAGACGAAGACATCTTTGTGACGTTGTCCAACTGCCCTGGGTGGGTTGAGTCAGACTATTATCAGACTGAGAAGGGCAGGGCAGAACTGAGAAAAGCACAGGAATCAGAGGATGGAGAAGAAGATGTGAACGCAGATGAAGACGTTTAGTCTGGCAGCAACAGTGAGACGAGAGCTTCAGGGATCCTAAGGGAACTGCATATATTAAGAGACTGATGATTTCAAATGAATCAGTTTGCATGAATAAAACTGCGATTTGACATCATAAATCAAAATAATATCATAGCCCTTTTTTGTGTCAGTGCCAGGATCTCTACATTGCCATGATTCACCGTGATGCTCAATTTTGTTTTTTGACAAAAGAAAATCTAAACTCTAAAAAAATCGAAACTTCGGGAAAAAATTTACTTTTAAATATATAGTATATATATATAAATCAGTATTTTTATTCCCCAAAAAAGTAGTCACTCACATGTCACTTTTATGCATTTGGCAGATAGTTTTTTATCCAAAGTAACTTTTGCTGCATTGAAGGCATATATTTTTTAAAAATTAGTTCATGCATTTCTTGAGAATGCTCTGTTGTTTGAGCTACAGGAATGCAATAAATATAGAAAATAATAATAAGAGACATTCAATAATTTAGTTTAAATTTGACAATGCACTTTTCTCATACTATGATATATTTGGGTATAACAGAGAATTAGTACAATCTATTTTCAAGCAGTGAGCTTGACATTGATATGTTTCCAATAACATGTTTAGTTTAGCATCAGTTTTAATTAATTACCAAGTTGATTCTTGCACAAACATTTAACTTGGCATTCAATTATTATCTCATATATGAAACATTCTCAAGAGAGACAGTGACCATCAAAAGAGTAAATGCAAAAGTGCCAGACATTAGACAGTCATGGCGTATATCATATTTCATTTTCAGATTATAAATAATTTGATTTGTTTGGCTCCTGCATGCCGAGGCGTCCTACACAATTACGTGAGGGTCATTGTTGGAATGGTTGTAAAATACAGTTTAGTTTGTATATGTTGTCTAATTGTCTTTTGTTGACACCTAAAAATTGCCAGATTAGACAAAGCAGTGATCAATTCCAGTCCTTCTCTGTTCAGAAATTTGGGGTTGGTGAAATTTTAAAAATATATTTTAAAAAAAGTCTCATGTTCATCATGGCTGCATTTATTTGATCAAAAATTACTGTAAAAACTATTATTATACTTTAGAATAATTGTTTTATATTTGAATACATTATAAATGTCTTTACTGCCCGTTTTGATCAATTGAATGCATCCTTAAAAAGTATTAATTTCTTTAAAAAAAAATAC